AAGACCTATTATGTGTGGGGGGCTCTTCCAAGTACCAGTGCTACAAGGTGAAAAAGACACCAGTCCCTGCCCAAAGACTGTGCGACACAAACGTGATAAACAGTACCATGTAAGGTCCTGCGCCAGTGTTCTCCCATGAAACACCTCTCTGTGGGCCTCTGCATGGGCCAGAGAAGGCTTCCTGGTAGGATGATGCCTGAATTGAGTCCTTAAGGACAAAATGAGGGCAGCTCGGGTGGCTCAGCGGTTTAGCACCACTTTCAGCCCAGTTCGTGATCCTGGAGACCAAGGATCGAGTCCCATGTCAAGCTCCCTGGATGGAGCCTGCTTCTCCCTCTGCCTGTGTCTATGTGTCTCTCGTGAATAAATAAATAAAATCTCTTTAAAAAAAAAGAAAAAAAAGGACAAAATGAGTATGTGTCAGGAAAGAGGAATAGAAAGAGCATTGTGACAGAGACTGGCCAGTAAAAAGAGTTGGAAATGTCAGCTTGAAGGTGAATTTGAGGGACGCCTGGGTGGCTCAACAGTTTAGCGTCTTCCTTTGGCCCAGGGTGTAATCCTGGAGTCCCAGGATCGAGTCCTGCATCGGGCTTCTTGCAGGGAGCCTGCTTCTCCCTCTGCCTATGTCTCTGTCTCTCTCTCTGAGTGTGCCTCTCATGAATGAATGAATGAATGATGATGAATAAATAAATAATTTTTTTAAAGGTGAATTTGGGCTGAGAAGAAGGAAAAAACTCAATTTATGTAGGTGGGGTGCTGTGTTAAGTGGTTCGGATATTATTTTAAGGCTAGTGGGAAGGGACAGTGAATGGGCTATAGGAAAATAATTAACATTAGATTCGTACCCAGTAAGATAACTCCACTACAGTGCGAAGGTTGAGGGGAGCCCTAAGGAAATCCATTTGAGAATCCATGTGTAGATGGAAGAAAAGGGTAGAAGAGAAAGAGAAGTAGCAGATCTTGAAGACCAGGATTAAGAGGCTGGAAAGAAGTCAAGGAGGAATCCCAAGTTTCCGGCTTTGGACAGTGGATAGTACCATCCATTAAGAAAGATGTACAGGAAGAAGGATCTATTTGGGCAGGAGAAGAAGAAAATTAGGTCCATTTGGATGGTGTGGAATTTGAGGCATATCCAGGTAAAATTACCTAGAGTGCAGCTGGGCATGTGCCTGTGGCTCACAGAGGAAAGGTTTGGCCTGGAAGAGGTCAGGTCATGTGTATACAGGTTCTAGTAGAAGCCATGTGATTGGGTAAGAGTTTCTGGGAAGATGAGGTCTAAAGCAAAAAACAGCCTTGAAAGATCCAGGAAAGAAGAAGGGCCTTGTCCGGGAACCTGAGACATAGGAGGATATTCTGGAGCCAGGGAAGGGAGCTTGAATGAGAAGGAGGTGCCAACACCCCCAGAGAAAGAGAGCAAGTGAGGAGGACTTGGGGAGTGCAAGTATGCCTCACTGTCAAGTTGCTGGAGCACACAGGGAATGAGTTAATGGTCAAGGTAAGAGAGGATAATTCACAGAAAGAGATTTCTGAGATAGTGAGAGATCATGAGATAGCAAGCAATGGACTTGTGGTAGGATTATCCTGGAAAGGATGGATAATATATTCTGAAATGAGAGTAAGAGAGGAACAGTGGAGTTGGGTATAGAGAGAAATGCCAGAGATTGTGCTCGACACATGTACACACTCTTGTCCTAATCCTCTCAACTAGCCTGCCAAACAGGAGGTATTTTATATTTATATTCAATTTTCCTACATAATTTATTTTCCATTTAATAATTTATATTCCATTTTCCTACATAAGAGAATTAATTGAGGGCAGCCCAGGTGGCTCAGCGGTTTAGCGCCTGCCTTCGGCCCAGGGCATGATCCTGGAGACCCAGGATCGAGTCCCACATCAGGCTCCCTGCATGGAGCCTGCTTCTCCCTCTGCCTGTGTCTCTGCCTCTCTCTCTGTGTCTCTCATGAATAAATAAATAAAATCTTAAAAAAAAAAATTAATTGATGATCAACACAGTTGGGAAGTAAATGGTAAGAGTTAGTGTAATCCAAGAATGAAATCTTGCCATTTGTAACAACATGGGTGGGACTAGAGGATATTATGCTGAGCGAAATAAATCATAAAAAGACAAATACCATAGGATTTCACTCATCTATAGGATTTAAGAAACAAAACAGATGAAATAGGGGAAGGAAAGGAAAACAAATGAGAGGGAAACAAACCATAAGAGACTCTTAACCTCTAGGAAACACACTGAGAGTTACTGGAGGGGAGGTGGTTGGATGAGGGGTAACTGGGTGATGAGCCTTAAGGAGGACGACATGTGATGGAATGAGCACTAGGTGTATGCAACTGATGAATCACTGAACTCTACCCCTGAAACTCATATACTATATGTTAATTTAAAACAAACAAACAAAAAAAAAGATAAACCAAAGTGTTAGGATTTGGGAAGGTTATGTGTCCACTCTAGGGCTTGGCCCAAAGAGGGAGGTAAAGGACTGTTAGCTCCCTCTTTGGAAGATTATTTCTGTTCTTTACAAAGAAAAAAGGGGAAAAAATGCCAAGAAGGTCACCCAAGATGTCATTTCCCAAGCAGTTTCTTGTTCAGCTCCTTTGCATAGCTGACCACACTCTCCTAGTAACAGTCTCTGCTCCTGCCTACACTGGCCCCGTCCACACAGTTAACTTTATCTTCACAGAGTTTCCAGTGCTTGTTTGTATCTTTTCCTTCATTAGGCCAAAGAATGCCTCCTTCCAAATGCCCCCTCTGGAGCTTCCTCCTCCTCCTAGTTCTGAAGACAGTTCATTAGTTGCCCGGTTTCGGATATAAACCTACAGAATCCAGAGCTGGGCATTCCCAGTCCTCCCTCACGGGCCCAGTAGTGTCAGGTGGACAGGAGTGCCATCCATACCCTTGCTTTGAATTCCCTAATAAATAGATCTGGAAAGATTTGTATGATTTGCAAGATAACAATTTACGAGGCACATAAATGATTCAGAAAATGTTCTGCTTTTCTTGACTCTATACAGCCAATAGTTTCTGAAGATCAGACAGCAGCTCTGATGGCCCATCTCTTCGAAATGGGATTCTGTGACAGGCAGCTGAACCTCAGGCTGCTGAAGAAGCACAATTATAACATCTTACAGGTTGTGACAGAACTGCTTCAGGTCAACAACAATGACTGGTACAGCCACCGCTACTGAGGAGTGGCCTTGTATTAAATCACTTTGCCTGCTGCTCAGAGATGATCTTTATTCTGTCCTGGGGGCGTAGGGGAGAAGCCCTGGATGATTTTTTTAATCTGATGAATCTATATAGAACCCATTATCGAATTACCAAGACAGTACCTGCATTACAGTATTTTCTGGAGCAAATCAAAGACCAGAACCAAAACAGAGACATTGGATGAATTGTAGGAAAACTTTTTCAGTTGATTTGGACAAAGCTCCTATCTCCATTTTAGTGCATTGAAGAGCATTGACTTGAACTTCCTATAGAACCATTTTTCTTTCTGCTTGTATCAAAGTTAAGTATTTTTCTTTGGTTAAATGTGGATGTTTCTATGGGGATATCTGTTGTCAGTTTTCAAAAGAAATTAACCTTGGAAGTTGTTTTCAAGAATTCTTACAATTTTTCTAGCCTACCCCAAGCCTCATACCTATGTGGTATTGAAATGACACCCAGAGCCCCGTCTTGTTAATCTTCCTTGCTCAAGGACAAGTCATTTCCCTGTAAGACATAGTAAATCAGCACTGTTTTCTAAAGACCCCACTGGTACATTCAAGAAGATCCACTTTCTGGGTCTCTGCACTTCAGTGAGAGGAGGAGGGAGTGTGCTCAGTTAACCCACCAGCACCTATTGAGCAGTGTTTACTGTAGTAATATTGCATACATTTTTTTTTTTGTTTAAGGGAACAAATTTAAGTAGGTAGTGTGAAATATTTTGCTAATCCTATAGAGAAGGGGAAAACTATTAAAAGGAAAAGAAATGTAACAGTTACCTTTTTTCTTAATGTCAGGGCAGATGTTACAGTTGAAAGAAGAAAAGTGAAAGGCTCTTAATCTAGTAAAGTTAGTTCAGGGGTGGGCAAATGTGTGTGAGGCACAGGAAATGCTGATGACTTTTTGAATGTCTGAAATCTGCTCAAAGGTATCTAGCCTTAGTCTAGAACAGGAGGAGGCTGTTTTGCAAGACTAGGATGGGAACAGACTCTGAAAAAGGTTTGGGTTAACCCCAAAACGAATGAGAAAGCTTGTTGCCAGGGGCCCAGGTCCTCATTCTGTTTACAGAAAGGAGTCTTGGGTATAATGGGTAAAGGAAAGGTAACAAAAAACACTAAAAGCTACTACTATCCATGAAAGTGACTTGCAGAAAAAGAAGACTCAACCCTCATCCAGAAGGGGAAGGATAGTAAACTAGTATTATTTAACCTGGTTGGTATTTATAATGAATGGTGATGTTAATTAATCATTAGTCATCATGATGTTTATTTACAGTATACTTCTTGATCGCTATTAAATAAACCAAGATTCAGACTGCAAGCCAACCAGGCTGTTCATTTATTTAAAACGTTTTTATCCGGGCTTCTGGGTAGAGGCTGAACGGCAGGGTGTGTGTAATTAATTGGGTTGATTTCGGGCGGGACCTGCTCTGACCTCCTGAGTCGTATTGTAGGGGTCCAGGAGGACCCTAAGGTCCAGTCGTCCGTCCGGTTGTACTTGTACCTAGCCGCTTCGAGAATGGTGAAATAAAGGTTCTTCGAAAGTCCTACCTGGACTGGCTGGTGCTTGCGAAAGTGGCGTCCGAAACCCGGGCGGTCTTCGAAGAGATGAGCTCTTCTCCGGCCAATCTAACGGGAGGGGGCGGGTCCGGAGAAGCTGGGGCGGAGCCTCCCTAGACTGAGTCAAAGCTTGGGGCGAGCCCCTTGCCTCCCGCACTTTCGATTCTGCTTGCAGCGGTATCCGTCCTGCTGACCGCCCGGGGGTGGGGTAAGGCTTCTCAGATCTTCCTTTCTTTCCCTTTGGGAGGCAAGGGTCGAGGGACCTTCATTGCCTCCTAGTCTTACGCAGGCATTCGCGGGTTAACAGGCTCCACCAACGGCCTCGGGTTGCCTGGAGGTGAAATTCTTCAGTGAAATCGAGCTTCTGTGGCTGCTCCTCCACTCGGGACCCTGGCCGAGCCCAGGAGTAAGGGCTGGAAGCAGCTTAGCCTTCTGGGGAGGCCGAGGTAGCTGCTCCCCATTCTCTCCAAAGCTGTGTATTCGTTCCCCCCAGGACTCTGCTGAAGGGGGCCAGTAGCCTGGCCAGCCCCAGTCCATGGCCCTTTGTTGGCCCTGCCCAACAAGCCCTTCTCCCCAAAGACATTTCAGAAAGCTCACTCTTGGCTGACCAGTGCCCTGGATCCCAGACCTGAATCAGGTGAGACTCTTCATTTTGACCCAGTAAGGTCTGAGTAAGGCTCACTTTGGGCTCGCCTACTCATTCTGCCACCACTCCTGAGCCTTTGAAGAAGAATCTGGATTTTTTTTTTTTTTTAAGCCTTTACCATTCCTTAATGAAGAATAGACCCTGACCATTGCTCCCATCCTTCCCCAAGCATTCTTTCCTACCCCACAGAAAGCAGAATGAAAGAGGTTTCTCTGCTCTCTTTCAGGGCTATTTTAAGGTTTTTAGGCACACCTGTGGCCAGCCTAGCTGCCTTTCCCCTGTTTCAAAGAATCCCTGCTTCCTTATTAAGCCAGCACCTGCCCAGAGGCCCAGGAATGGAAGCTTTCCTTCCACTCCCAGGCTGGGAGATCGCAGGCATTTCTGCTTGGGTGTCCTAGACACCTCTTCAGAGTCCTCTTGTTGCAGAGGGTGAAGAGACTCTGGACTGCTGCCTCCCCCACCGCGCGCCAGCCCTATCCACTTCCTTCCCTTGAAGCAAGTGACAGCTCAGCAACTTTCCCAGAACAAAAACAAGTGTTCTGCCATTCACTTCTGGAAGTCCCTTCTAGTGAAATAACTTCTGCTTTTCTTTTCTCTTCCCTCTTGCAGGCAGTTTGAGCTCCCCTGCAGTAATGAAAAACATGCTGAGATTTCTGATCCCAGAGTCCCATATAACTGCTCAGTTTTTCGTATCCTAGCTTCCTTGGGTGGGAGCTTGCTGAAATTGGGGTGGCACTCCTTGCCAATCTTGAGAACCCCAAACCAAAGTAACATCCGGTGTCTATGCTAACAAGCTTAGCACCGAATTCTGTTCTTTTCTCATTAGCGAAAACTCCCCCTGTATGATGGGTGAGACATTCTCCCACTTGGGCTCTCGGGAGGAGAACAAGTCCATCCTGCCCCGAAGCCCAGCCACTGGCAGCAAGGCTGCCTGCTACTCCAGCACCCGAAGCAGCAAGTCTTTTTGTTTTCCCGTGCCTTGTGAAGGGGCTGCCAGTGCCAGCTTTGTGACTTGTCCTACCTGCCAGGGCAGCGGGGAGATCCCTCAAGGTGAGTGGCCCAAGGCTTTAGAGATAGCCTGGAATCCAGAAAAAGCTCTTAGCAGCCAGCTGGTCAGGCCCGTCTGAGCCTCCTTGAATGGGGTTGGGTCTCCCAGTTCTGGGTCCTCCCCCCCCTCCAGGCCGGCCAGCAAAATGTTAACTTTTAATCTGCCCTCGCTGCAGAGACACCTGCCCCCTGCTGCCCCTCCTGCCCTAGTTGTTCTTCCCAGCCCAGGGGGTCTCCAGCCTCCCTGCTCCCTTACAGACCCTGGGTCTTAGGATTCAGGAAGTTACAAATGACCTCTCCAAAGTCTCATTTGCTGGTGCATTCCGGAAATTCACACCTGTTAATGAAAAATCTCACCTCTATCTTAGAGCTGACAGAGTGGAGTTGCCATCTCTGTCCAAGGTCCCCAGTCCTGCCCTGGGGCAGAGGTGGCACGCTTCTGACTCTGTGGAGTGAAGGGGTCCTTCTGGATAGCTGGCACAGCAAACAGTCCTCATGCATACTTACTTCTTGGCCCTCTCACCTTCTTTCTCTCTACAGAGCTAGAGAAGCAACTAGTGGCTCTCATCCCCTATGGGGACCAGAGGCTGAAGCCCAGGCACACGTAAGCCCTTCTTTTCACCTGAGCTCCACAGGGGCTGTACTCATTGTCTCTCCCTTTCTGCCTCCCCACCCCCATTCCCAATTCTTCTCCATTGGAAGCCTCCCTGAGTTCGGATATACTAGCTCCATTTCCGGGGTTTTTTCTGGTTTAAGAAGTTTGGGGCATAGCAGATGCCACTTGAGGGCACTTGGGTGTCCTCCTGAGCTTTGGTGCTTCCAAGAAGCGTGGCTCCCTTGTGAAAACAGAGAGGATCCCTTGGCTCTGCAAGTACTTTCAGGAGGGAGGGAGTGGCCTTGGCTGTAGTTCATTTGGGGAAGTTATTTTTCCTGCGAGCTTCTCTCTGTTGTGGCAGTTCAGACCTGCCTGTTCTCTTCCCAGTTGAGATGGAAAACCAGCTGCTCCCTCTTCTGAGATACTTCAGAACCTCAAAGGCAGCCCTGGGGTTTCACTGGAGGAGGGGCAGGTCATGACCCTGTTTGTGCCACCACCCTGCCCTCCCTGACCACTGCACCAGCATCTGAAACTGCCAGTGCCCCGCATAAGATACTAACAAGGTGCTACCTCACCTTAATGCAGATTCCAGTTTTGAATTAGAAGGACAGACGATGTCCTGTTCTGAGTATTAATTTTAAAATTCAGAACTCTCAAGTTCATGTGGACATGTCTTCCAGTGATAATAGCTGGCATTTGTTGAGCTTTTGTTATGTGCCCAGAAGCTGGCTTTAGTGCTTTTTCTTGCATTAGCCCATAACACATTCTGTGAGGTAGGTCCAGTTCTCTCCATTTTACAGACAAGGAAACTGAGGCCTAAAGAGGTTAAGTGGGTTGCTCAGAGAACTGGTCCAGTGGGTAAAGAGAGGTGGGGATGGAAGCCAGGCTGCTTGCCTCAGTCCTGAGCTGCGTCTGAACCTGGGCTGGTCCTCCACATCTGGGGAAGTAAATGTGCAGTCACAAGGGGCTTGCGCAGGGGAGAGCCTTGTGTAGGGACTGGAGTGTCCGTCTCTGCCCACATTTCCGTGGTACTCAGACATCTGCACTGCTCGACCCCGGGGCCTGCTTTCCCACAGGAAGCTCTTCGTGTTCCTGGCAGTGCTCATCTGCCTTGTGACCTCCTCCCTCATCGTCTTTTTCCTGTTCCCCCGGTCCATCGCCGTGCAGCCTGCAGGCCTCAACTCCTCCACAGTGGCCTTTGACGATACTGATATCCACCTCAACATAACGGTGGGTGGATGCCCACACCCCTGAGCTCCATGCTGCCTTGCCGGCAACTCCTCTTTGCCCTTGTCCGGTGTTGCAGTCCTGGACATAGGTAGCCAGAGATCTTATGGCACCTGGGGAGGGTGTAAAAGCCTGGGGAGAAGCAAGGAGACACCACGGGCCACGTAACAGATTATGCAGGATGAGGACGGTACACAATGAAGGGTCAGAATCGGGGGTGTAGGGGGAGAGAAAACACAGGTGTGGGAGGCAGGGCAGGTCTGAGACTCCCTGGGTGGGCAAAACTGAACAGAGGTGCCTCACAGGATGAGACTGGATCCTGTGCCAGCTTATTGTCTCCTCCAAGGGACTCCTGGCACTGGGCTTCAGCAGCTGAGACCCACAGTGGGAGTGGGGCTCAGTCAGGCCGGGGCAGGGGTCGGGGGGAGGCAGGCGTTTGGGAAGCTACTTGACTTCTTTTCAAGGATGGCGATCCTTCCCACTTCCCTTTCCCTTGTCTTCCTCCTCAGAATATCTTAAACATCTCCAATAGCAACTACTACCCCATCACTGTGACTCAGCTGACCATCGAGGTTCTACACCTGTCCCTTGTGGTAGGGCAGGTCTCCAACAGCCTCCTCCTCCACATCAGCCCTTTGGCCAGTGAACAGGTGATTCCCTTTCCATGTGCTTGAACATGGGTGGTGGTCGGAAGGGGCGGCTGGGGCTGAGGCTCACCCTGTGCGCATTTGGTTGACAGATATTTTATGCAGTGACCAACAAGATCAAGGATGAAAACACATAGTAAGTATACCTTGATCTCTTCTCTCTTAGCCTCTTTCCTGGTTGGAAACCCAGTCTTCATCCCTACTAGACTTCCTGACTGCTTAACAAACCCTGCAGCCAGCATTTGGCCTCCACCCTTGTGGCCAAGGCTGCAATGTGCAAGGAATTCAGGGTCCCCCACCTGTTTGGACTTAGGTTGGAATGAAAACAGGCCAGAATTTGGTTAATTCTTACAATATGTGACCTCAGGCTCTTAAGCCTGAATCCCTGAGAAAATGAATGTCTTGTTTTCTGTTGAGGGGGAGGGGCTAGTACACACCTGGGCCAAGCCTGTGGGGCTTGGAGAAATGCAATTGCAGCAAGGGTGACATGCTCACCTTAGGCAGAGGGAGAAAGAGTGGGAGTGGCATTTGGGGGCCCTGATGGGAAAGAGCCCAGGAGATGACACTGGGGCCTGCAAGGCTGCCAGGCTGCTCAGTGTGAAACGCGGTCCTGTGTTCTTTCTCTCTCAGCAAAATCTGTTCCTGGATGAAAATCAAAGTCCACCATGTGCTTTTGCACATCCAGTAAGTAGGGCTTCGAGCCCAGGGGTCCACTCTCCCACTTCTCATCCCAGTCTCCCCTCTACCTTGTGGGAGGAGTCATTCAAAGCTAACTCCATTGATCTTTGCGGGCTCTTGGGAGTAGCAGGTCCAGCCCCTGTGCTAGATCCCACCTTGCTTATAAGTCACAGAGCTGTCTGGATCACAGGTGGGACAGCTGTCCCAGGCACCTTGGTAGAGTAGGGAGTGGAAGGAAGAGCGTGGGGTGTTTGAGGGAGCCCACCCTCCCCAGACAGCAGAGCAGGGCCAGAGCTTCCCTCTTCCTCCCAGACAGAGCAACAAAGCCTGTTTCCTCTCCAGGGGCACCCTGACCTGTTCCTACCTGAGCCATTCAGAGCAGCTAGTCTTCCAGAGTTATGAATATGTGGACTGCCGGGGGAACTCATCGGTGCCCCACTTGCTGCTGGCCCCTCACCCACCATGACCTGTCTACTGTTCCCAAACTCCAGGCCCCTGCCAGCCTGGGCTGTATATCCCAGTGCCCAAGGAAGAATTACACAAATTACAGTGATTTTGCCAAAGGAAAAGCCCTGCTTTGTTATACCTCCCCCAACCACACACACCCTCAGCACAGGGAGTCCTACGTGGAAGTTAACTTGACACACACATGCATGCACGCATGCTATTCACATCCTCTGATTTCCACAGGAAAAGAAGTCTGGTTCTTCTAGCAGCCAGCACCAGGCTTTTGCCTTGGTCTGTCTTAAGGAAAGTCTGACCTGATATGTATCCAGAGCTGCCTTAGATTTCCCAGAGTGGTCCCTGCCCTCTGTGTACTGAGCACCTTGGTTGCCTAGTGCCTCCGGGGCTGGCCTTCCTGCCCTTCTTGCCTGAAGGGGAGAAATCTTTAATTTTATCTCACTTTTAAAACATGGATCTTTTTCAAGTTCTCCACCCAGGGATGGGTGCTGCCTCGTGCCTTCCTGCTTTTGTCCTGTGACAAAGTGATGGTGATGATCTGCTTTTGTCCTGGTAACTTGTGCCCTGACAGCAAGATTGGCAAAGCCCTTTGGCTCTGCATCTTCCCTGGTCAAAGACTGTTCCAGTTCCTAGGAAGACAGAGCTGTTCTCTGGCTAAAGCTTCTCTCCAACAAAGTTATTTTATTCTGGTCACAGCAGAAGCAGAAGTAGTAAGGGAGGAGAGGAGACACCTCTCCTATACAGGGAGGCACCCTCCACCTATACAGGAAAAACTGAGATGAAGCCAGAGTCATTTGGAAAGAAGTTTATTGAAGTTAGGTTTCTGGCTGGTGGTGAGCCCTCAACCCTGAGCCCATGTGAGTGGACACTGGTAGGTCAAACGGTGGTGCCAGCTGCTCCTCCATGATAGCCTGCAGAGGGGGAACTGTCAGGACTTGGCCAAGCTGCTGGGCTCTACAGCATCCCTGGCTTAGTTCCAGGGCCCATCTTCTGCTCCCAGAGGCGTCTGCTTTCCTTCGGGTGTTGACAGGATGAAACTGCACATGAGTAGGGACTGGTCTCAACCTCTCCTCTCTGCTGTCACTCAGATGAAGCAAAGTCCCAGATGATGGAGGGTCCCACTGGGCTCCAGATGGAGGCGGTTGGTTGTATTGCTGAGCAGGAACTGAAGGTGGCTGTGGTTTTCCTTGGGCTGGGAGATGAACTTAAGTGGTGGGGAAAGCTGAGTGCCATTTTGGATGGATGGAGAGGAGGCAGTGGTGACAGCACCCGGCTAGCTGGCTGAGCAGACAGGAAGGAGGAGGAAGGAGGCTGTCCTGTCCTGTGTCCCCGCTTTCATGCCGGAGTGAGTAGAGCCAAGAAGGTGCTGGCAGGAGCACCAAGTCCAAAAAGGCCAGGCTGGAGTTTCTGCTGTGTGTAGGTTGCCAAATGTAAAGGATATCTATTGTATTCAATAAACTATACTTAAAAAAATAATAAAAATAAAAAAATAAACTATACTTAACAATGTTAAAAAATAAAGTCTCCTGTGAGTGGGAGGAGAGCTGGATGACACTCCCAGCCTGTTTCTGAGCTTCCGAGTGAGTGCCAAGCTCTCTTTCCCAGGCCCTATGCCCCTCTGCTAACCTGTCTAGCTCTTTTTGCTTCTGAGAGCTTGCTCCCAGGCTCTCCCCTTTCTCATTGTGTATCTCTGAAGCCCCCTCCTGGCTTTAATATTCCTGGTCTGTGCCCCCTCAGGAAGCACTCCACACAAGGGCCCTAGTCCCTGGCAGTTGGTGTGGGGGCAGTCTGTGTGGGCTTTGATGAAGGGCCCAGGCATCACCTGTCTAGCCCCAGGTGCAAAGGGGGGCAGGCTGTGGGATCCTAGGTATCACCTTCAGGAAGTGGTAAGGGCGGGTGCCTGGGGCCTTTGCAGCCTGACACCTCTGAAAGGCTGAGGTGGGGGAAGGGAGAGGCCTGTGGGGTTTTGTGGGCAAGTCCTCCTCTCCTTCCCAATATCAGGTGTCCTGTGCTTGAGGCTACAGCCCCCTTTTCCTTTGAGCTCTTTCCACCCCTGCCTCTGATCATCCATGCCACACCTCAGAGCCCACAGTGGGCCAGACATTACACTGGACTTGGTGGGGCCCTGCCTGCCACCTCTAATGCTGCTCCAGGCCTGCTCCAGTATGATGCAAACCCTCCTTCCCCAGCTGCATCTCAGTAAGCACTGGCCTTTGGGGAGGGGTGATGGTTCCAGTGAGAGTCTTAAACCTAAAGTACCAACAGAGGCGCCTGGGTGGCTCAGTCAGTTAAACATCTGACTCAACTCTTGGTTTTGGCTTGGGTCATGATCTCAGGGTCTTGGGATCAAGCCCTGCATCGGGCTCTGCGCTTAGCAAGGAGTCTCCCTGTCCTCTCCCCGTGGACATACATGCATTCTCTCTCTCTCTCTCTCTCTCTCTCTCTCTCTCTCTCTCAATCTGTCTCTCTCTCCCCCCCCTCCCTCAGATAAAGAAAATCTTTAAAGCCCCCAACACACCTGACATTGCTAAATAAGAGCCAGCAATGGAGCCATAGACTTGGGAAGGCCAAGAGCAAGTTCTCCCATTGGCTTCGCCTACAGAAGCATGGAATCACCTACTTTCTTCTCCCACCACCCCCTCCACCCCCTTCTGGGTCCTCATGCCCCCTTCTCTTCATCCCCATCTCACAGAGCTCACCAGCCTCTTGATTCTTTTTAGGAGGAAATCACATTTTATTCTCAGCTTGCCTTCTAGAGTGGATTAGGAGGGGGTCACATTTGGAATGGAGATGCTCCGAGTTGAAAGAAGGGTGAGAAGGCATTCATCTGGTGGGGGGGGGGGGGCAGTTTGTTTTTTGTTTTTGTTTTTTGCTGATGCCCAGTAGGGTTGAGGGTCTATCTCTGGATCACCACTGCTGTGTGTAATTCGTTGACTGAGAAGAGGGAGAGAAAGGAGGCAAACTGGGTTAGTTAGCTGTTTCTGGGCCTTCTGTTCCAAAGCATTGCATCCAGAACATTTATGCCAGAGGAATCAAAACAAAATGAAGCAACCCAGTCCTTATCATCAGGGTTTCTCATCCTTTGCATCTATGTCAGAGAAACCTTCTTTCCAAAGATTGTACTATGTCATGTCCTTCTCATCAAAGTGACTGCTCTGGGCTTGCAAGGCCTGGATTGAGCCAGGTTCTAAACTGGGGGTTTATGATGCCTTCTCTTTCAATTGCCACATTCAGTGGTCCTGACACTTCTATTAAGGAAGTGGTATTATCATTCTCATTTTATGGATGGGGCAGATGAGGCTGAGATGCAATCACTACTGGGAAGAGGTGATCCTGAGACTTAAAGCCTGACTTCATGCCTTGCCTTCCTCCTGCTCCAGCTGCCTCCGCCCCAATCAGCACTTAAAACACCCCTCTATTTTGCTTCTCTGGCAACTGTCCTGTCTGTCTGAAATAGATTTGTCAACCCCTCCATTTCGTTGTGTTTTTTTTTTTTAAGATTTTATTTATTCATGAGAGACACAGGCAGAGAGAGAAGCAGGCTCCATGCAGGAAACCCGATGTGGGACTCGATCCTGGGACTCCACACATTGAGCCAAAGGCAGAGGCTCAACCACTGAGCCACCGAGGCATACCAACCCCTCCATTTCTGCTTAGTGCTGAGCAAGAGGCCCTCCTAGACATTTTTGTGAAGGCAACAAATGGAGAAATAGGCCATTCAGAAATGACTATATAATTGCATCTAAAGGGATGCCTAGGTGGCCCTGCCATTGGGCGCCTGCTTCAGCTCAGGTCATGATCCCGGGATCCGGGATTAAGTCCTGCATCTGGCTCCCTGTGAGGAGCCTGCTCCTCCCTTTGCCAATGTCTCTGCCTCTCTCTGTCTGTGTCTCTCATGAATAAATAAATAAATCTTAAAAAAAAAAAGACTTTATGGAATTGACTTTATAAAATATAAATATAAATAACTGCAGCCCTTCACCAACAAACCCTTTCTAGATTACACACGCACACACGCACACGCACACGCACACACCCACGGTCTACCTGCCTTTCACACTGTCTCACCCTGAATCGTGAGTGCTCCGTGTATTTATCTGGATTAGATTGGAATGATTTCCTGAAACCTGAAGATAAAACAAAGCACAAGTTACTCATCTGACAGTTTCTGAAAATGGAACATGGCAGAGCTGGACTCTCTACTATGTGTCTGGGGGGCAGGGGGCAGCCCCTCCCTGGGGCAAGGCACAGACTGAGCCCACTCTGAAAATTCACAACCAGGAAGCTGCGCTGTGATTCCCTGTTCCAGACTTCCTATGGCTCAGTACATCTCTTGTTGCATCTGCAACTCAGATCCCACCCTCACCCCTCTGACACCCTCGCCCCAGAGGCGGGGCTGCCAACTTCACAGCCACTCCCCGCAAAAGTCAGCAGCCTCATTTGCACCCCCAGAGTGATGCAAACATCTGGGGGGGGTCCCCCCAAACAAAGGCCAAGGGTACCAGGGAGAGTCTGTGACAGTGGGAGGATAGCTGTGGATTCTGGACGTAGGGCTGGGGTGAGAGCAGGGAGCTCCCCCTCATCACTTGCCCTCCCAGGTGTCTCACTTACTAGGGCCTTGCAGGGGTTTTATTCCTCCTAAGAATCTGTTAATGTTGGATTGCTCTCCTGCTTGATGGGTCCCTACTGAGCCAAGCTGGGGACCTGGCTTTGAAGAATCCTGCAGACTGTGCACAAAGGTGAGAGGGTCTTGGGCATTCTGTTGCCTCGACTGAGGTGGCGGCAGCATCTGTGACTCTTCAGGGAGCTGTGGTTGCGCTGGTGGTGGCCTGAGTGACATCTGCTGTTCCTGTCGCAACTCCTGTGGGCGCTGGGTTTTTCTCTCAGATTGCAGTTCCTCCTCTTGGAGTTTCTCCAGTTCCTGACAAGAAGCCCCTGGCAAGTGGCATCCTTCTCCCTCCCCTCCCAGTCACCCATCTGCCAGTGACTCTGCAGGGAGCAAGGCAAGCAATCACTGGAGATGCAGAGGTCTCTGTTCCCTGGAGTTGGAGGCTGGACTCTCTCCCTTCACCCTCCATGAAACCCGAGAACTGTTTCATGTGACAGTACCCCCTAGCACAGTCCCAGCCCTGGAAATGGCAGTCTCTGAGCACCTACCTCCCACCTTGGTAGCTGTGCACTGAATACAGTTTGCACTGCTGGAGAATAAAGAATACTTTCCTGCAAACACTCTGAAACGGGGGGCAGGGCGGGGGACCCGGGGTGGGTCAATCTGTTAAGTCTCTGCCTGCCTTCAGCTCAGGTCATGATCTCAGGGTCCTGGGATCAAGCCCTGCATAGGGCCCTCTGCTCTTCAGGGACCCTGCTTCTCCCTCTGCTTCTCCCCTCGCTCCTGCTCTCTCTCTCTCTCTTTCAAATGAATAAATAAACCTTAAAAAAAATCAAACCTTTGAAACAGCACTGTCCAATAGAAATAAAATGCATGCCACAAGTAATTTAAAATCTAGTAACCATATAAAAAAGTAAGAAGAAAAGAGGTGAAACTAATTTTAAGATAGGTTAGTTAACCCAATACCTCCAAAGCATGTAATCAATATCAAAGTATTAATGAAATAGTTTATATTCTTTGTTTTTGTACTAAGTCTGTAAAAAACAGCATGTATTTTGTTTAACAGTACATCTTTTTTTTTTAAGATTTTATTTATTTATTCACAAGAGACACAGAGAGAGAGAGAGAGGCAGAGACATAGGCAGAGGGAGAAGTAGGCTCCATGCACCGGCAGCCCAACGTGGGATTCAATCCCAGGTCTCCAGGATCGCGCCCTGGGCCAAAGGCAAGCGCCAGACCGCTGCGCCACCCAGGGATCCCTAACAGTACATCTTAATTTGGATATCACATTTTGATAAAAAATACTTGCTTTATATTTAGATGTCATGAAATCTACAGTTGAAAAAGATTTATGGGGCACCTGGGTGGCTCAGTGGTTGAGTGTCTGCTTTAGCTCAGGTTGTGATCCCAAGGTCCTGGGGTTGAGCCCCACATCAGACTCCCCTCAGGGAGCCTGCTTCTCCCTCTCCTTCTGCCTATGTCTCTGCCTCTCTCTCTCTGTTTCTCATGAAAAAATGAATAAAAAGAAAAGAAAAATATTTATATATCTAAACATACTGTTCTAAACATACTAGAAAGCTTTCCCATACATAAACAGTATCTGTTTTTAAATTTAGATTTACAGAGATCCCTGGGTGGCTCAGCCATTTAGCACCTGCATCATCCTAAGGCATGTCCTGGAGACCTGGGATCGAGTCCCACGTCAGGCTCCTAGCATGGAGCCTGCTTCTCCCTCTGCATGTGTCTTTGCCCCCCCCCTCTCTGTATCTCATGAATAAATAAATAAAATCTTAAATAATAAAAAAAATAAATAAATTATTTATTTATTTATTTAGATTTACTGGGCAGCCCGGGTAGCTCAGTGGTTTAGTGCCTGCCTTCAGCCCAGGGTGTGATCCTGGAGACC